AGTAAAACGGCTCAACGGGAGTTACGGTCCACAATCTAATATAAGAGCAAGAATGAGCTATAGTGCTTGTGAGTAAACAAATGCTAACCTTTTACAATGGAATAAATGATGCTATTTATACTAGATGTGGGTAGGTGGGGGTATGGGGTGCTCCAATGTGATTGGTTGCTTTCCACGTTACTTGTGCTCCCATGCTCCCACTTGTGATCTCATACTCCAGCATTAAATGCAGCCTGCCACTAGTACGAATCCCCGATCGACATTGGGACCCACTAAGCCATCCGTCCGGAAGAATACTGGTTATCCAAGTGTGAATTACATCTCGTTCGGGATGTGCCGAACGGGTGTTTTCTTCAGTTGCCCAAATCACGTTCGGGAGCCCATTGCTTTACTTTGGGCCTTCCCCTGTCCTTGGGCCTTAGGGATATTCTGGGCCGGTATATTGGGCCAGACTCTAATATCCCAACATGATTATTATACAATACGTCGTGCAATATCAAAAGTTACGTGTTACGTGAAAAGTTGACTAATAAGCAGAAAAATATGATCATCAAACGAGTCCATAAACTTCTAGGTTGTACTTCTTTTACGATTATACTTTCATTGGATTAATTAGTCATATTTTAAAAATAGAAATTGCTCTAAATAGGAGCAAAAACGTTTTAAAATTCCAAAATAGGAGTATCATGTTTTTTATTCCCTGAATATGAGTAATCTGCTAAGTTTGGAAAAAAATGGCAGAGAGAATTCTCTAAACAGGAGTAAAAAAGTTTTGAAATTCCAAACTAGGAGTATCATGTTTTTTATTCCTTGAATAGGAGTAAGTTCCTGCCAAGTTTGGCATTACTAGGCTTTAAAACATGTCATTTTATTCCAAACTTGTCAGATTACTCATATTCAGGTAATAAAAAACATATACTTTCACTGGATTAATTAGTAATATTTTAAAAAAGATCTTAATAGTACTACTTGTTTTCCTGTTTCTTTCTAGTTTGAAGAAGAAGAAAAATATTTTAAAATGTTTTTCGTACACGGTGAAGCGAGCATTACTTATAATCAATCAAATTGTGGTGCAAAACGTCGAGAAAGATAGAAGAGTCATACGCAACTAGATAAAAGTGTCGCATATAATTTTATACGTAGTAGAAAATATTCAAAATTGTCTTTCTAACAAATTAGTTTCACTAAACAATAAATATTAGTGCTTAATTACTTTAGCAACTTCTATAATAAATATCAATATATATGTTTGTTAATTAATTCATTGATTAGTCAGTATCATTTATATTAACTTTGAAATTTCATAAAAAATATTTGAAAGAATTCCCCAAATAGGAGCAAAACATAGGCAAAATGCAAAAATAGGAGTATCATGTTTTGAATAGGAGTAACTTTAGTGTTTGGACAAGTATACCCCTACCCAAGACCTAAGCCCCAACAACTTTTAATTAAATATTTAATTCATAATACATTCGAAAAAAAAACAAAAATTCGTAGTAAAATAATTAAAAAATTTATAAACTATTAATAAAATAAAAAATTTAAAAAAAAAAATTTTTAAAATTTTTTAGTTTTTTTAAAAATTAATAAAAAATAGTAAAACTCCATAAAAAAAATTTAAAAAATATGGATGTCTTTCTCACCGCTTGTACTACCTTCCTGAACCACCACCTCCGGACGGTGAAAAAAAATTCCATTTTTCCTAAAAATTGCCAATCTTTTCTGAAAATGCCAAAAACATGGCATATTTCTCTTTGTGAATGCCAACTTTTTCATTATTTTCTGCCATAAATATGACATTCGTAATGAACTTGGCATTTTTTTCCCTAGTGACTGGAGGTGGTGGTGCAGAGGCGGCAGAGGCGGTGGTGAATTTTATTTTATTTTTTTGAGCTTTTTATTTTTTTTAAATTTTATTTTTTTATTTTTTGAAAAATAAATAAATAAATAAATTATTATCCAATAAGTCATAAATTAACTAGGTTAAGATTAAATAAGTCATATTTTAGAATTAACTAGGTTAGGGATATTAAGGGTACAAAATTAATGTTTACTCCTATTGAAGGAAGTTTTAAGTTATACTCCTATTTGTGAAATTATGTTTACGTTTACTCCTATATTGGGCAATTTCTAAAAATATTTTCATTTAGTAACATTTTTTATTTGTGATTTCTCATAAAAATCAGTAAAAAATTAAATTAAATGACTAAAAAATATTATTTAATTAGATACAAATACAGAAAGTATTGATAATGATATAAAATTTTAATTTTGAAAAATTATGACGGTGAAGTATGATTGTTAAAAAGGACTGTGTTTAAGTCTTTGTATAAAAGATAAAGGCCTTGTTTGGTAAATGGTTGTTAGCTGTTGCTGGTAGCTGGTTGTGTCAGCTGTTTCGCAACAGCTGGTTGTGTTAGCTGTTTTGACCGACTGGTTATATTGGCTGATTATAAATAACTGTTTGGTAAAATTGGCTCTTTCGAAATGGCTGATAGAGTGTAAATTGAACCAGCCAAATGAAGAAGCTGCTCCCCTTAGCTTCTTCCACAATCCATTTTTTCAGCTTTTCAAACTCAACAAACTAATTTTAAAAGCCATTTACCAAACATTATTATTAGCTTCTTTGACTAATCAAACAGTTGAAATGGGTCAAACAAGCTAAAAGCTGGCTGATAAGCCATTTGCCAAACATACCCAAAGAATGAGATATATTTGTGATGAATTTGACGGTAGTTGAAGATAAATTAAGCTAATACTCCGTAGTATTAAAAGTGGGTCACGTAAACGTTGAGGAAATCATAGTTCTTAGAGAAAAAACTTATTCATGTCTTATACCTTTATCTTTTGATTATAGAAATTATAACTTTCCCACCTTTTGAAGATTTTTGTGTTACTATTTATTTGGTCCATTTAACAAATATGTGGTGCATTAATTGGTTCTTTCCAAGGTTATCCTTGACTCTTTTTTTTTGCAAAATCCTTGAAATTTTATTATTCTCTCTATTTAATACTTGGATATTGGTCCACCCTAGAACACACAATAAGTTTTTTGGAATTTTTTAAATAGTACAAAAACTAAAAAATAGAGACGTATGCTTGCCAAATGCTCGATCTAATACTATAAGAGTGCCAAAAACAAAACCTTTTCTCTTTTTTTTGGATGAAAGGTAAGTTATATTAAGAATCACACAAAACTAACAAAAACATGTATCAAAACTAGCTAAACTAGCAAGCTAACCTAAAATAATATTCATCATCAGGGCTGACTTTGGGAAATTTGATGCCCCAAACAAAGAATGAAATCAAATACTCTGTAGTACTTTAAATTACTTACTACCTAGTAATAAAATTAAATATAAAGTAATTAAAAATAGAAAGGCCATGATCACTACTATATATGCTTATTACAAATTGTAAAAGATAATAATTACCATACAAATGTTACAAAGTATTCAAAAATATGTATTTTTCATTACCACCGGTTAAACTGACATTCTTGTTTTCATTTTGGACATTAACATTTTCATGGTCATATTATCATTTGGCTCTAAATTCTTATTTGAGGGTAAAGAAAAAGGTTTTGTTATATACCTATCCAAATAACCCACAAAGGATTGTACTACAAATTATATTAGAGGCATTAATGATTTATATTATAATGATACATTAGTAAATATAGTTTATAAAGAACAAATTCCTGAGTAACTTTAATTGTTTATAAGATAATAAATCACAAATTATTAGCATATAATATAACTACTCATAAGAATAACTGATACTACGGTATATGAAAATAATAACAACAATAGAATAAAAATTAAATAACTCAGCTTTGTAATTGGTGTGCCTCTTATTGGTAAGAATCACACCTGGGATGTTGGAAAGCCCGATTCGAATTTTTAATCAGAAGAAAGATGAAAGGTAGATTTTGATTTCTTAACCCGCAATTCGATCCCTATTTCCTTTGATTTCAATTTTATTTTAAATTATTAAATTATGCAATAGTAAAGGTCTGGACAGCAGAATGGGCCTGGGAAGTTAGATCGTGCATCCTAAACTAATACTCCATATCTCCATAAAGAAGATGCATACTTGTCATTTTTCAAATTTCCCATTTTTTTCAAAAAATGAGGCCCCTTATAGAAGTGGTGCCCTAGGCAAATGCCTTTGTTCCTAGGGCCAAAGTCGGTCCTGTTCATCATTCCCTCCTCTGCACACCCCCCTTTGTGGGAGGATGTGAAGGAATGGAAATTTAAGATGGTCCAATCAAATAAATCCCAACTAAGAGGACATGCCCCCGGCTTAGTATTAGAAAACGGGTCCACGTGCCTTGTTCGGTCGGGGTGTGGGGTGGGAGATTCCACTCTTTGGATGAAAGAAACCGGTCCACAAAAATCAAATGAAAGCTGCCCGCCAACCAAACACGGCCCAAGGGGCCCAAGACAATTTAATCCCATTGCCCAAATCCATGTTTTCCGGTGGCCTAGTAACTGTCAAGCAGTGTCACAAACACGGGAAGTCAAATAGTAACCAAACTAGTAGTCCATTTGCCCCAGCCCAATTGCTCCCATTTAATTAAAAACAGAAGATAACCAACGAAATGGCTGAAACGGGCCGCACTAGTAACGAGCCAAAGCCTGCTCATAAAGCCTCCAAATTGCCAATCGTCACGTGTTGCATGCCTTCGTAGTCCGTTCCACGATAGAGCAAGGCCCAGGTAGGTAGCCTAGTCCACTAACCATTGCAGCCCGACCCGCGCATCGTTATGGAACTAAGCAGCCCAGTCCACCTACCATTTCTCACTTTTTCTTTCCTTTAATAAACAAATTCTTAAGCTGCGTGAGAACTCAAATGGGACACTAATATGGAATGGAGGGGTATGTTATTTTGAGATTTAATAATTAATGATTTAGTTGGTTTGCAAAACTTATATGTAATTCTTGATTAACTAGAAATAAAAGGACTAACACATACATGTGTTTCATACTTGGTTACAGAGGTACATTCAGCAGCATAATGAGGTTGAACTGTCTGCCCTAGGGATGGGTAAAGCTCATCATTGAATCCTTTTCCATTTACATATACCGTGTTTTCCTTCCTTCCATTTCTTCTTGTGCAAATTATGCAATACCCTATTTTTACTCATAACAATCCCTTGGAATAAATAATTGCAGCAATCACCACAGTTGTTACTGTGGCTGAAATTCTAAAGAACAATGGATTTGCAACTGAAAAAAGTAAGCACTTTCTCTCACTTATTATTTCCTTGATAGCTCGTGATTAGAGATGGACTAAAAATAAAATAACGCACGTGATAGGGATGAAAAATGGAAAAAAAATGTTAGGACCTAAATTAAAATAATTGATAGCAAAACGTGTTTAAATAATTAGAAACTACATTAAAATTTGAAGCGCAAAAGTTGATTTCTAATATGATAAAAAATTAAAACTTTCAGTGAGGATAAAGAAAATGTTTGGACCACATTGATAGCAAACTAACAAAGTTTAGTGTGGCCGTGGAGTATTGTAAACCATATGTAATAAAATATAGTCATATTTCATTTTTTATGGAAAAACCAAATACAAGAAAGTAATTTCCCATTTTTAGTTATATAGATAATAGGTCTATCTTATAGTCTAAATAATAGAAATAAATAACAAACTTAGCTTTGAGCGAATATCTTCTCCCCCCCTCCAATTTTCTTTCCACGTTTTCCTTTCTTTCTCCCCTGTTTCCTCTCCCTAGTATTTTCCGGGTTCCAAAGAAAACCTTAACTAGAAAAAATATCATTGCTTTGAGGTCTATGAACGTCACTGATCATTGCCACACAAAATATGGTGTAGAGGTTTTAACATCCACAGTTGGAATGAAAGATGAAGCAAAAGGCCGCATGGTTCAAAAGGCCAGGGTAAAAATCCATAAAATTCTTGTACGAAGTAATATTTTTGTAATAATTTTATATTACTCAGTATTAATTAACGAGTCCTACCATCCTTGACTACTTAGATTGAAATCGTGCTGGAAAAAACTGAAAAATTCGACAAGTTAATGGCACCGAATAATGCTGCAGCAGAGGAAGCGCCGAACAAGGATGAGGACATCAAGGTGGAGGAAAACAAGCAGTAGTTTTATTCGCCGCCACTTCAAAACTCATGCTCACTGTATCTCAGTCTGGACATGAGGATATATTATACTACTAATTCTGCTGTTATACATTTTATTTGCTACAAGAGATAAAGATCTAGAGAGTGCAAATCCACCCACATTGTCAAGGCTGTAGGTTTGCCCTTTTCAGTTTTTGTATCATTTTTGCAGTTTCTTTTTCAGACTTGTATCGTTCCAAGATGCAGCACATATATGATTCTGTGTTCGTTTTTGTGTAAAGTAGATGTTCTTTGTATTCCTTACTGTCCAACCTTCCCCTGCTTTAGCTCCCCCGAAATTGTATTCGCAATTGACTTGGCACTTTGTATGGTTGCAGATAATGCAAAAAAAAGCATCAACACACGTATATCTTTGCTTAGAATATTTGGAACATCCCTAAACGGAAAATTGAAAGAATATTATGGGACGGAGTGATTATTTTTTTTATTTTCCATATATGCAGTTTTCACTTTCAGGTAATACTATCTATTTTGGTGAACATTAATTGATAATTTAAAGGTTTCCTACACAAACAAAAGATCCAGCCCTTTTTTTATCTTCTCTCGATATCTAAAACAAATGAGTACTCGAAATGAAGTTCTCCCCAATAAAAATATGAAAGTAAAATTGCAATGCACTATTATGGTGGAAACTTACTCAAAAGTTATTGACTTGCATATAAGTGGTCCCCCAACCATGAGGAAATATTTTGAACTTTGAATTTTCAAGCAATGTGAGGGGAGACCCACTACTATAGTGACAAGGAAGAAGCAAAACACATTTACTCACACGCTATAAGAAAGTAGACGAATTTGTACACACTCTCAAAATGCTTGTTACCATCCTTGCATCAGCAAAGTCAACGTGTGGCCTTTCACACAAGTCGATCTGCAATGACACGTCAAAAAGAACTTCAGATAGACAAGTTTGTGACAAAGTCATGCTCTAAAGGAAATGATCCATGGTGTTGAAATGAAATATGAGGAGCTGTGCTATACAAATGTTTAGGCTCTCATGATGCATTACATATAGATGGACTGAGAATTATCCAATCCATAATAAGAAAAAGTACATGAAGGTTGCACATCAGTTTTAATACTATTCCTATCCAAGTTTTAATATCATATTGATTTTACAACATCAGTTTTGGAAAGTGACGTGACTATAACAACCGTCTCAATGCATTTTCAGCTTATGATATTTTCTATGTGCATTTAATGATGGTAGTTTTGAAATTCCATCTCATTATTACTTCTATAAAAGGTTGCAACATGACGCATAAAATTCAGTCGTACGCTTTTGTATGAGTTTTAATGTTAAATAAATTGGCACGCTAATTTTCATGTCATGGTCCCAAACGTAGTTGGGGTCAAAGTGCAGATGATGCTGGTAATTATAATCCTTGTCATGGTCCTAATGCACATTAACAAATTATTATGATTAAATACCCCTCTATAATAATAACACTTATCTACTTATCTTACAGACTTTTATAAAACGTACAGACAACTATTCACAGTAAAACTACAGCTTGCAAAAAAAAAAACGTACCATACTTTGACGGTACAACAACCTCCCAGCCTTATTCCCAAAAGATTTTGGGGTCGACTGACGGTAAATAGAAATATTAGAAATAAATCACAACTTGAAGTGTTTGTTAGGGGGTGTTTGGATTTGATTCTTAAAACTTCTTCTGCTCCTTCAGGGAGCAGAAGCAGAAGTTGGAGTGTTTGGGTAAAAGTGCAGAAGTGATTCTGGTGCTCTAATTTACTCCTAGAATCAGTTTTTTTAGAAGTTGGGGGTGACCAGCTTCTGAAAACTGATTCTGATTCTGCTTTAAAAAGGAAGCAGAATCAGAATCAGTTCCAAACACCCTCTTATGCGCGTAAAATATCGGAAAGTATTGGCTTTTCCAGTGAAATCAAAAACAGAGGTCAAAGTGGACTCCCAAGGAAATTCGATTGCATTCCACTATGACCACTTTCCAAGGATATTCATACAAGTGTTCAAAAAGACATTTTGCTGGCTTTGGATCAGCCCGCAAAAGGATCAGTGTTTTCAGAGGCGGGCTAGACCTAACTAAAAACCAAGCCATGCCAGCCCAAGCTCGTCTATCAAAAAGAGGCGGAACAGATTGGGGCGGGCCAGGTTTTGTCTATCAAAAAGCTCGTCCATCAAATTATGTAATATAAACTATATAAATATTAGATAGACAAGCCTAAGAGAGTGTTTTACTTTGCTTAAAAAGGGTACTTTTCAGCTTTTAGCTTAAAAATAGTGTTTTAAATTAATCACTTTAAAACTTAAAGCTGGAATTTTTCACTTCATCTATTACACAAAAAAAGTAGTTCTTTACCAACACTCTGACTTTGTTTTATCAAAACCGTACTATTAATTGTTTTTCGAATAATCTCTAAAATAAATAACTTCAAAAGTAGAAGCAAACGAAACACATTCTATAAATAGCCTCCATTGTCAAACCAAACTTTATTTACAAATCAATTACAGAAGAACAAAAATAAGCATGAGTAGACTGTAAAGGTAATAAATAAATAAATAATACTCCGCAGAAATACAAGAGAAAGAAAAAATAAAGTACAAGCCACAAATAAAAATAAATTAAAATATTATAGTCACAAAGAGAAGTACAAACAAACTGGATATTCTGTATTTTTGTGAAACTAGATTGAGATTTCCACCATTCATGTATATCTTCGAATTCTTGGCCATACCAGTCCACAGATCTGGTAACCAAGCACAATGTCATTATGTGTTTATACGGCGTTAGTATTGATACAAAAAGAAAGGTAAGCCAAAAATAAGCAAATCACATACACTAAATGACTAATCACAAAAATCGTGAAGGCAATTCAAAATCAGGATTTGAGGATCTTTGGTTATTTGAGCTATTGAGCTATCAGCAGATCGGATTTTGCTTTCTTTTAAATTAATAATTTTCCCTTATTACTTTATTTGTTTAATTTTCCATGCTTTCTAAATCCTAAGACCTGTTGAAAGACGGAATAGTATGCAAGTTTGACGCAAACCAAGCCCCAAGAATTCTCAATAAAAAATCTACTTCTATTGCTATAAAAAATTGTATACCTCCAGTTCTTCCCAATGTTACCTGTTCTCCAAAACAGCAAAAATAGCCAAACCTTCCAAATCCTATATTCCTAGTCTTCCATTCAACCAAAGGCCCGGCTTAGTCTTCCCATTGCAAGCCGCTTTTATCATGTCGGTCCGGGCATAAGGGAGAGCGTAACTTCAACATGAAGGCCAACTCTTACCATCCAGTATAGTTTTAAAGAAGACCGGCATTAACAGGACAAATTTTGACCGGGCTTTGATCCAGACTGGACCACATGGACTTTCTAGGCCCAAGTTTTTAACACCATTGTAATTCATATACCATCAACCATGATTCCTACTGGGGTAAACCATCATTTAAGTTTGTACTCCCTCCATCCCGTAATTTAGTTCCACCTTTCCTATTTGGGATGTCCCAAATTAAGTTCCTACTTTAGTCTACTTCTATGTTTGGTAAGCTATTAGTGTAAAACTACCCATTTTCCCTCCTGATCAGCGAACGATTATTCCGGCGAAGGCGGGCTTATAGATGGAAGCGGCGACAATGAGCTCAGGGATGGTCACGGTGTCTCTTCGTCTTCAAAATTTCAGTGATTTTCTATCCATGTTCTTAAATTTCCAGAGCGGGTGATGATATCGGTCGGTGTCTCCTATTTTATTTTGCATTGTTTCCTTGTTTTGCTGCAAGGGGATCTCGGGCTGCTACAGTAGCTGCTCTTGTGCTATTCTAACCCCTTTAATCTACCAAGGATATAATTGGAAAGTAAACCTAATTAATTTTCTTACCTAAAAAACCGTGAAGTCAAACCAGGAACTTTACTCCGAGTCGAAGGGAGTCCTATATGAGTTGAACTTGTAAAATCTTTGAAGTTGCAGAACAATGTTGATTAATGCACATGTATATATTCATTATAAGAAAAACAAATGATAACAAAAAGTGTTAAGAGACCTAATTTTAAAGCGAAGCCAATATGAATATCTAACATTAGCTCAAGAAATTAAAATCATTACCTTTTCATAAGAAGGGACATCTTTTTCTTAAATGCAACTGTCGCAGTGACCAGCTATCTCCTGTACAAATTTAAGCCCCTCTTCCCCATTTCGGAGTGAGTTGATGGAATGCTGAATTGTGTTATACTCTTCCTCTAGCTGTTTTAGTCTCTCAGTCATAGTAGACAGCTTATTGCTTAGTTTATCCAAGTCAATACTTTCAGCTGAGTGTCTGGGTTTGCTTTCGCCCCCTGTTTTAATTTCATCATATTCAGCATCGCCGAGTGGTAATGCAGATAATTCTTGAGAAGAAGGCATTGCTTTTTCTTTCATTGCATCTAGTTGGAAACGACTACCTTCTATTTCACTATTTTCTTGAAAATCCTCTTTCTGCTGAACTTCTGTGTAATTATTACTCAATTTAACCCATTCCTTTACTGAAGTATCATAGTTAACCCTATCTGTAGAGGCCATGATAGAGAATAGACGAAGCTTCTCTTCTGATTTCTCTAAACATCTCTTGATGTAAAGTTTTTCATTTTCAAAATCAAGAGTTAAACTCAACTCCCTAAGACTACTTGAATCACAACTAGCCTCAATGTCCTTCAAGAGAGTAATATCACCATATTTCTTTTTGTATACTCCAAGCTCGACTTCTAAGTCTTGTATCGTTTTCTCCATCTCCGCAATACTTTCATTCGCTTTTTGAAGTGCTTCATTGTCAAAGTCTGCTTGGTCCTCCATCATTCTCAAGCATTGTAAAGCTTCCATCTGAAGCGCTGCTTTTTCTTCTTGCAGTCTAGTAATCATTGCCATTGCTTGATTTGCAGCAACTGCAGAAGCACTTCTCTCCTCTTCTAATTCTTTGTACAACCCGCTCATGAATATCCTATCATGCTCCACCTGTCGTTTCAACCTATCAACCATACTTTCTCCTTCGATTTCACTCACCATGCTTCCTTCGAGCGAGATATTAGACTCGTTTCTCTCAAGTTGAGACGGTTTAGTGATGGTATCATTTGATGATGATGATGAATCAATCCCCCGTGATGAAGAAAAGTGTGATAGCAGAAGTTTCAAGTCTTCGCTGTTTTGTGTTGAACCCTTCAAAGACAACTGCTTTAAAAACTTTCCTGAGAGTTGCCTAACAGCCATGACCCTGCTACTAGTGGCCAGCTTATAAGCATCGCCTAAATCTAAAGATGGTGCTGCCCTATGTGTACTACTAGTAGTATGAGCTATATCTGGCTTAGAATCCAACAAGGGTTCACTTGACATGAAACAATCACTCTCCGTCTTAGGCGGCATTTCCTTGTTCAACTTACCTGTCATTGTTGCATCAGCTGTCACAAAAGCATAAAATTAGGTGAGATACAGAAATATAACATCTGAATACCTTAAGGATCTTCGGATCCACTTTGATGGAGTGGTACTCGAGGGCTTAATCCATATCTTGATATATATTTGAGGTTTTATTAAAATTGAAGTATTAACATAACATGTGATCGTACAGCATTTTAATTGCCTTGAACAATCTAGTTATCCAGATATAGACTAAGAATGCCAAAATCTTGTCATCCAGACCCCTCCATCCGAGCAAACCCTCAGTTTATTGAATAATTGCTATTTGTAGTTATAAATTGATTCATTTACACAAACCTAGTAATATGGGTAGTTATGTCATTAAAATCACAATCAATTTACTATTATAGTAATACAATACAAGTGGTTTACAATTAATTAACCTAATTTTGAAGAAAGTAGATATTAATGTCTAAAATTGTACACCATGTTGCAGTGATAGAATTTCCATAGTACACGAGTAGATCCATGGAGAAGAAGAAAATTAGCTAGCAAGCACTAAGTAAAAGAAAGGAAAGATAATCTTACAAGGTTCTCCCGGCATATTATGACGAGTTGTGATGGCAAATGGCAATGGAAGGTCCTCAGATATGAGTTCACCATGCTCAGCTTGCCTCGAGTTGATTTCAATTGAACCACTGTCAACATCTTCAGCTGAGACTTCATTGGAAGCGGAACCTCGGTCAGCTTCCAACTGTACTTCTGAAACTAAAAATGGCACTGAAGATTGATGGATCAATTTCTCAGATGACAACTCCTCCGAAATAGTAATACTATGACGTTCAGGAAGAATACGTGAATTGATCAAATCTTGTTCAAAATTATCCCCTTCAGGAATTGAGGGGAAAAGAAGATCAGCACAATCATCATCTAATGAAATTGCAGCACCTGAATCAGTGTTACCTATACCTTTTTCACCATCCGTATTCTTCACAGGTAAAGGTGAATCAAGTCGATCAGCTGCCTGGGGCCTATCATATTTAATTGGAAGCAACTTTTGGGCAAAACCGTTAGAAACAGACAGCTCCTCCAGGCAAAGGCTCTCTCTCAAAAGAGTCTGGTCAACAAGAAGGTGACTTTCTGCACCTATTCCCCCCACCAGCAATTCATGCGTCTGGGTGTTTGATTTATTTACTGTTTCCGATGAGGAGGGGCAGCTGTCACACCTTACATGAGCATCAACAGCGTTATTGTGAAGACGGAAAAGAACCAGGGAAGAGATCATCGACTTATGGTTGCAGCAGATCAAATCCCAGTAAGAGCATGATCTTTCCTTGCCCAGAACATGATCCAGCCTCGAGCAGAACCAACACGGGGTTTGCAAGTGACAATATTGGGCAAACCTGGTGATTAAATAACCAAAACCACCATCTATAAATAACATAAAGATGAGCATCCACTCGGAAAATGCTGATGACAACGCTGTTATCATACTGGTGGCCGCGTGGACACGCCAAACCTGGGGAGAAATCGCACAGGCCTCGTGGTGTTTGGAAACGAGAGAGAGAGAGAGAGAGAGAGAGAGAGAGAGAGAGAGAGAGAGAGAGAGAGAATCCGGTAATGGTGAGCTGCTTGCAGCCAGTTGATGAGTTTTTTGTGGATAATTCAGATCTGTGGGGCTTTAGCTTCATTTCTAACTTCTTTAGAAACTCCGTATTAAAAACAGAGTCCGGCTTCCTCAGGCCGGTTTACAAGCCGGCTTACAGCCCGGTCAAATTGTTTGTATACAGACAATTTGATCGGCTAGACAGATAATTTGACCGACGTTTTATGAAGAAAATCGATTCTCATACAGACAAAATATAAAGAGTTGTCTGTATCACAGACATTTTAAACCTGAATTTTTCATAGTGTCTGTGATACAGACATTTTTTTATTTTTGTCTGTGTGAAAATCGGTTTTCTTCGTAAATCGCCGCTCAATATGTCTGTGTAGTCGAACAAATTGTCTGTACACAGACAATTTGACAGGCGTGTAACCCGGCGTGTAAAACTTGGCGTGTACAAAAGGAATTTTCCTTATAAACATACTTAGAGCCTATTTGGTAACAACAAAAAATATTTTCTTTGTAACGGTTGATCCAATGTTAAATGATCATTAGGGTATTGGCTTATTTGTGTTAAATATAAGGTTGTGAACTTTACTAGTGAACTATTTTTGATTGATTAGGTGATTATAAAACTACTTAGTTAATTGATTACTTTGAAAATTTCATTATTACGTTGAACTTTTCAAAAATGTGTTTTTTGAATGATGACATTAGTATTTTTTTACTAGTATGAGTAAACTATTTTAAAAATATACACTTTCTATAAAGTATATTAACAATCTCACATTGACGGAGGACTATCAGCAATCAGACCCGTCTAGAGGAGGAGGCAGATGTATTCTTCCTCACTTTGGCTTAAACAATATAGTGTGGATGTATTAAGGCAGGACTTGGCGATTTTCCCGTCAGAAAGAGATAAAGGTGAAAGTCGAAGCGATGGCGGCAGTGGTTTCCATGACGGCTCTATTATAGTGATACAAGTAGGTTCCCACAGCGGCTCTATTAGCGAGGAGCTGGGAGGTGGCTCTAGTCTGCGGCATGATAAGTTCATATTTCAACACGCATTTGATGTGTGTTGGAGTCGCATTTTGATGGTTTTCCTCGCTTTTAGGCATCATAAGTGTCATATTTAGCTCAAGTCATGTTAGTCAGGTGTTGGAACGAGTTTTGGCATTCTAAAGTTGAGATCAGGTCGTTGAGAGCCCGGAATCGGAGCTTTAGGAGTGATCGGGATGAGTAGAGGCATTTTCGAGAAAGAATTCAGAATTTTGAAGGTCACCGGGAGGTTCGCGATGAAGTTTCAATAAAGAAAGAGCTTTTGGATCAATCACGGGAGCAAACGGGAGCATCTTGGAGCAAGAAATAAGGAAACATGAAGAAAAGTGCCACGCTCGTCGAGCGTGGCTGGTACGCTCGCCGAGCGAGCGAGGCAGAGAGTTAAAAGAAAAATTTCGTATCCACGCTCGCCGAGCGTGGCTGGTACGCTCGCCGAGCGTAATTCCGTGACACGGGCTTGCTCCGCACGCTCGGACGCCACGCTCGCCGAGCGTGGACGCCGAGCGCGGCTACGGGAGTCCTAAATCAACCCAAATTTGATTGTTTCCTATAAATATCACCCCCTAAACACAATTAAAGGGGGGATGGAAGTTTAGAGAGAGGTTAAGGACGTGATTAGAGAGGTTTTCAGTCAGGTTTTTCAATCCCTTAACATTCTTTGTAAGTTCCTACTTTTTAATTAATTCTATTTTTCCCAATTCTATTGATTCTTCAATTATGAATAGGGAGTAGTTTTAATTAGGGATTTGGGTTGATGAAGGGGTTAATCATGATGTATGGCTAATTTCTTGATGGTTTAATTGCATGAATGTCGTTTAATTTGTGTATGAACAATTTAATTGCTATCTTTTGTAACCTAGAATGGCCACTAGAATTACAATTGCTTATAGAATAAATTAAGAGAGATCTAATTTGTTCTAGGACACATTCACACACACTTAATCGTTCGCTAAGAGATTAGTAGCGATTAAGGGGCCGTAGGCTCGTTCGTCTTGGCAATAATTTAGGATCCTGTCGCATGAGAGATCAGCCTGGTCCCATAAATTATTGTACTCTACGCCGCGAGAGCGGTAAGAACTTAGTATTGATTAGCTAGACTCAATTAAATTAAATTCATGTAATTAAGCCTGATCTGCCAGAAATCTGATTACCCCGGAATCAATCCCTGTTCCCTTCGTTGTTAATTAAGAAGAACCCAATCATTTACTTTTAATCGTTTATTTGCAATTTTAGTTTTCTCAAAATCAATCCCTGTTCCCTTCGTTGTTAATTAAGAAGAACCCAATCATTTACTTTTAATCTTTTATTTGCAATTTTAGTTTTCTCAAGCAACCAAATCTCGCACGACCGCATTTATTTTATTTATTCTTTATCGCTGATTTTTAGTTAATTTTTAATTCCCTTTTACCGTCCCTGTGGAGACGATACTCGTACTTTCACTGCTATATTACAATCTTTTTAAGTGCGAGAAAACTCACATCACGGCAGATAGCAGCTGGCAACGTGGTTGGCAATATCCAAGGATTGTGAGACCCGATTTTTCGATGCTTGGTTTGTTTGGCTTTCAGAGGTTTCGAAGGCGGTCGTGGATCTGTATTGGCTAGGGTTGCGAGCCCCTCTTTCTTGATGCTTTTGGCTATTTTGGCTCTGGTGGTGACTGAGATGGAAGTTGCACCATATATGTTTGATCCGTGTGGAACACTAGTGGTACGGGTTCCGGTGAAAAGGATGAATTCGGTCTCCAATCGTTTGTTTGGGGGATCGGCGCGGTTGTTTTGGCCGATTTAGTGGGTGGCCGCCTGAGGTTGTTTGTTGGCCATGAAGGTCAGAGATCACGTGATGGAGGAAGAAGATGGAATGAGAATGACCCGCCCCCTCCTGAACCGCCGCCACGGAGGGACTGCGTGACTAAAGGTTGGAAGGAGACGCTTGAAGTTTGGGTTCGGGTATTCCATCGGTTGAAGTTTATTTATTTTTGCTATTTTCTATTTTCTAATCTTTATTTCGATTTTATTGTGTCAAACAATAAGGGCGGTAGTTTCGTGTTTTGATTTATTTTAGTTGCTATATTTCTGTAGGGAGCCAATCACGCTCACGTAGTTGCTAATAGCCTCAAGGGGGGCGATGAGCTTATGGTTAGTGTTGGTTAGAGGGAGATTATTGTCGGATGGTTATTTTAATGTTTGTGATTCTTCTGATTGTATTGTCCCTCAACTACACACTGAGAGTTTGATTTAATATAATATGTCAGTTTTCCTTTAAAAACAAGCTCGCATGCATTTAAATTATAATGAAACATAAAATACACATGTAATCATTGGAGTTCATTCAAAAAACGAAACATAAAATACACATGAAGTACCAAAGTTATTACACCATAAATCATCATGTCTGAAAATACGTTAAGTAAAGAAAATACATAATAGAATACATGCAATCATACGTTGAGAAGTCACACCGCGAACTTCATTTGAAGACCTTTCGATGGGTTCTTGTGTTGGTGGAGTAATGCAATTTTCCGGAACAAAATCAAGGTTTGTCTCAAAACAAAGAAGGATAAGAAGGCATGATTCTAAGGATACGTCATGTTGCCTTCCAAACACCAAAGGTTCGCTCAATGCAACTACACAACGACGAGTGATTCTTGTTGAATATCTCTTTTCCCGAGTTCGACCTCTCTCTATTGAAAGAAGATGGATGGTATATAGCGTTGCGGTAGAAAACCTTCTTGAATGGAATACCTCTCATATACCAAATAGTATTTACCTAATTAAATAATGATTAAATAATTAGCCCTACTAAAAAGTTATATCATGACACAAATAAATTTTTTAAAAAATAGTGGTGGTAGGGAAATCCCAAGCTAGAATTCTCTAGTGTCTCTAGTAGTATTCTAGCATCATGAGCTGATCCTTCTCATCCCGGGACGGCAAATGTAAATTAAAGATCAAAGTTACAAGTCGTTGATGGAAAGTGTACCCGGAGGTAGCTTATCCGAGGGGTTATTCGAGGAACAACCTAGAGAGAAAGTCAGAGCAAGTAGGAGAGAGAGTCAAATGTATTAAATGAACTCAGCGTGCTTTACAAGGTGAATAAGGGCTGGTATTTATAGCAGCCATAAATACGATGAGAGTACATGTGTCAACAATCCAACGGTCGAGAGGTCACCTCAGTCGGGGTGGCACCGGCATATGCATGTGCACCGCATTAAATGCGGTGGTGGATGTGACGTTGTACCCGGTACGGTGATTCAGCGCATGTGGAGAGAAGATTATGTCAAGGAGGTTGCCTTCGGCTGTGCATGTTGGACCGAAGGCTCTTTGTACCGGGGGCCTCCCTGTGCCGAGGGCTGTAGGTGCCGAAGGCTTTGTTTTCAAGCCTTATTCTCCTGTGATGTTCTTGGACTTGATTCCATGAATGTTAGCCTTCGGGCATGATGCCGAAGGAACCCCCTTGCGTATTACGGCTGCCTGGAGTCTGGTTTTGCTGGGCTCAGCCCATTTGGGCCTATTGGGCCTGATTGTTGTAGTGGAAGTATGTGGGCCGGGGGTCCCTGGGCCATATACTCCATCAGTCGTCATGATGTTTTGGCTACTAAATTCTTTACGAATGTACCATAATTTTTCTCTCTTCAAATATAACTGCTATAACATGAGTGCCATTGATAGCTCATGTTGGTCCAAAAATGGACGCTCGCGGGCTTTTTGGAAAAGCTACGATAGAACACTCAAGCAAGAATCTGGAAAGTAATACGAATAAGGAAAGTGTTGAGGTAATTTGGTAGTCAGAAATAGCATATCGTTCATTTGAATTACAATTGCCTTTTATAGACGTTTAGAAAGCGTAACCGCTATCAATAGTAATGACTAATTAATTACAACATTAATACATAATTAAATACATACTTAAACAACACATTAATTGCTTGACCGATACTTTTCCTGACTCACAAAGCGACCGGGTTGACAGTGATTGATTCTGGGGTAACCAGATTTCTGTCTGATCAGGTTTAATTACACGAAATTAATTTAATTGAGCCT